GCACGCTTATGGCCACTGCAGCCTCAGCCTGCTGGACTCAGGCAATCCTTCCGCCTTAGCCTTCCAAGTAGCTGTAACTACAAGCATGCACCACCACACCCGGCTAATTTTTTGAATTGGTGTAGAGATGAGGACTCACCAAGTTGCCCAGGCTGTTCTTGAACCCCTGGGCTCAGGCAATCCTCTTACCTCTGCCTCCCAAAGTGCTAGGATTACAGGCATGAACCACCGCGCATTGCTAGTCTTCTGATTTTCATACCTCTTGGCATTGTGTTATATTTTCAGTTGGAATTCTAAACCTTAGACTCCTTTGACTCACTCTTAGCAAACTGCCTTAGCAAGTTGCCTGGTCTGCAGACTGATAAGTTATTCTTTCGTGATCCAGTGTTCCCTTCTCTGCAGTCACAGTGGGTTGTTACCTTTCTCTAAGGAGCTGTCTGATTGTAATCCGTTTAGAAGACAAAGAAACTCTTGAGGACTGTTAGAGAAAGAGAAGCCCTTTGCTTTTTCACTTTCTGACCTCTGCTGTAAGGACAGATTAGCTTATTTGTTCAGACCCTGATCTGAACTTTGAACCGCTGGTTTACCAGCCCTCTCCAAACCCATATCTCACACAGACTTCCATGTCTCGGCAAATGGTTACTTTATTCCTCCAATTATGCAGGCCCAAATCTTGGTGCTCATACTTGATTCTTACCTTTTTTCTCATACCCCATATCCAATTTGTCTTCACATCTTACTTGTTTTGCCTTCAAAAAAATACCCAGAATGTAATCACTTCTCTCCACTCCCATGCCACGATAAATGAATTACTTCCAGGAGGCACCACTTGTGCCCAACTGTTCCTGGAAGTTGTGGGCCACCAACTCTGGCTTTTCCATTGCTCGAGTGGAGTCTTGCGTGAAGACAGACTAGGCAGAGGGGTTCCCACACCACAGTGTCTCCTTTCACTTCCTCTTGTTGTTTCTTGCTTGTTTTAATCCAGAGAGAGGAGAGAGGATAAGAGAAAAGTCTCAAGACACTTTTAGGTAGTAATAACAGGAGTCAAGGCTCAAGTCAAGGCTTGCAAGAAAAAGACCGAAACTTTGCCAGCCGAGTATCTTCTGTGTATGCACTTGTGAGGGTTTGAAGGTGAAGGAAGGAATAAAAAGAGAGAAGGGGGCATTTTGTACAATTCTCTTTTTAAGCTGAGAGGCAGTTTTGCCTAGGTTAAAGATTGGAGACTCAGTTGGGCGTGGTGGCTCAGGCCTGTAATCTTCACTTTGGAAGGCGGAGGTGAGAAGATTGCCTGAGTCCAGGGGTTCGAGACCAGCCTGGCAACTTGGTGAGATCTTGTCTCTACATTAAATCAAAAAGTTTAATGAGTGTGATGGCACGCGCCTGTGGTTCCAGCTACTTAGAAGGCTGAGGGAGAAGGACCACCTGAGCCCAGCAGGTTGAGGCTGCAGTGACCACGAGGGTGCCACTGCACTCCAGCCTGGGTAACAGAGTGAGATTCCCACTAACAACAACAAAAAAAAGATTGGAGACTCTAGAGCCAGTCAGACAAGGTCTGAACCTGCCACCCGCCATGTGACCCTGGGCAAATTCTTTACCTTCTCTGGATATCAGTTGCCTTTGTAAGGTGGAGTGAAAACTAGCCTTTGTCCTTAATATCTTTGTGAAGATTGGATAAATTGTTACATGTAAAGCAATCAAACAGTCCTAACACATAGTAAGTGCGTGAGAAATAGGTTTTCGTGTTTTGAGCCAGAGTCTCACTCTGTCGCCCAAGCTGGAGTGCAGTGGCATGCTCACGGCCACTGCAGCCTTGACCTCCTGGACTCAGGTGATCCTTCCACCTCAGCCTTCCAAGTAGCTGGAACTACAGGTGTGCACCACCACACCCAGCTAATTTTTATTGATTTACTGTAAAGATGAGGTATTGCCAAGTTGCCCAGGCTGGTCTCAAACCTCTAGGTCCAGGCAATTCTCTCACCTCGACCTCCCAAAGTGCTGGGATTACAGAGTTGAGCCACCATGTTCAGCTGGAAATAGACTTTTTTTTTTGAGTTGGAGTCTCACTCGGTAGCCCAGACTGGAGTGCAGCGGCCGCTCCCGGCCACTGCAGCCTCACCTGCTGGGCTCCAGCGATCCTTCCACCTCAGCCTTCCGAGTAGCCAGAATTACAGGCATGCGCTACCACGCCCGGATGATTTTTTGATTTATTGTAAAGATGAGGTCTCGCTGCCCAGGCGGGTCTCGAACCTGTGGGCTCAGGCAATCCACTCACCTCAGCCTCCCAAAGGCGTGGGATTACAGGCTGAGCCACCGAGCCTGGCTGGAAATAGACTTTTTAAAGACCGATTTTCAAGTTAGATTTGTGGAGCTTAGTCTTTCTAATAGCATAAGGAGTTATAGATATGATGAACCATATTCCAGTAACTCCATCTCCCTGGATTGGGACTCTCTTTCCTTGTACAGTAAAGGCCTGTACAGTAAAGGACAATGGCCACACATGAAGCACATTCTGCTCCACTGACTTACCAGTGCTAGATTAAGACTCAAGTCTGCAGTATATTGCCATTTGGTTGAATACATAAAGCAACAACAAACTCACTGTTCTTCTTCTCCTTGCCCTGCAACAGGTTGGTTCACTTTTGAACAAAGACAGAGAAGTTTGTTTCAGAATGACATACTATTCCACAGTCTGAATTTCATAACTGACTTTGCACCTTGGACTTCACCTAGAGCTCTCGGTGAAATCAGAACTGGTCATGAAATAGCATTACTACCTACCCCAGATAGCATTCTTTTCTTGATGTCCTTTTCACAGAGGCCCCATCACAATGGTTTCTAACTCCATTGGCGGTCTATATGTTCTTTGTAAACCAATATGCAGGAATGTGTAAACAAGGACAGCAGCAATTGAATGTCAAAGAGCAAGATGTTCATGTGTCCTACCTATTGAAAATTGCCAGGCTGTAATCCCAGCACTTTGGGAGGCCAACGGGAGAAGATTGCCTGAGCCCAGGGCTTCGAGATCAGCCCGGGCAACTTGGCAAGACCTCATCTCTACAATAATTCAAAAAATTAGCTGAGTTGGTGGTGTGTACCTGTGGTTCCAGCTACTTGGAAGGCTGAGGCAGAAGGATCACCTGAGCCCAGCACATCTGAGACTGCGGTGGCTGTGAGTGTGCCACTGCATTCCAGCCTGGGCAACAGAGTGAGATCCTACTCAAAAAAGAAAAAAGAAAAAAAAAAATTGCCCAGTGGCATGGGACAGAATGTACCAGGCAGGAGGCCAGGAGAAGGTGTAATCAGTTCATCTGTCCAGTGCCCAGCCATTCACCTGACTGTCCTCTTTTCCTCATCTTTTTCTTCTTCCGGTTTGTTTGTTTGCTTTTCTATTCCTCTGTCCTGGGTTTTTTCCCCCCCCTCAGCTATGTTTGTTGTCCTTCCTCTACTGCACTTGTACTGTGTCTCCATCAGCACCTTGCCCCTGACTCTGATTATCCAGAGTTTCTGAAAGGATAAATAACTAGACCTTTACATACTAAATTAGAAAATTTCCTAAGTGCTCCTTTTTTTTTCCTTGAGATCAAATTTGTCTTCACTTAAGGAGAGTTATGAACGTTTAGTGTGGGTGAGGCGTGGTGGCTCATGCCTGTGATCCCAGCACTTTGAGAGACTGAGGCAGGAGGCTTCTTTGAGGCCAGGCAATTCAGATGAACCTAGGCAAAAAAGCAAGACCTCATCCCTACAAAAATAAAAACAAGAAATGAACCTTTAGGGTGCTGAATGAGGGCACTATTGCTCTTTTGCGTGGAATGATCTTTCACTGGACTTTGCAGGATTGCTAGCTTCCCTGGGCTCAGGGCCAAATGCCTTTGCACGTTTCTGAATACCCTACAAAGTAGTGGTAAAGCTTCTGGTTTAGAACCACTGCTAGCTAGGCAATTAGAAACATGTCACCCAAATACTGGCTTCAGCTGCTCATTATCAACCGCTCTTTATGTCTAGAGAAAATCTAGCTATTAAAGACACTGAAACTGTGCCAGTCTGAGACTATAACAGCCGCTTTTTATTTTTTAAATCTAAGATGTTGAGAAATCCACTATACTTATTTGTAGGGTTTTTTTTTAAAGCAGAATTTATTGAGAGAGCAGAAAAGCTCCCAGAATGGGAGGAGACCCAAGAGGATTGCTTTGTAGGTTTTTAATAAACAGTCATGCACTGCATAGCAACGTTTCTGTCACTGACAGACCATGTATATAATGGTGGTCCCTTGAGATTATAATACTGTATTTTTGCTGAGTACGGTGGCTCACACCCATAATCCCAGCACTTTGAGAGGCCAAGGTAAGGGAGCCCAGGGATTCAAGATCAGCCTGGACAACATGGCAAGACCTCATCTCTACTATTAAAAAAAAAATTAGACTGGGCTCAGTGGCTCACGCCTATACTCCCAGCACTTTGGGAGGCTGAGGTGAGAAGATTGGCCTGAGCCTGCAGGTTCGAGACCAGCCTGGGCAACTTGGTGAGACCTCATCTCTACAATAAATCAAAAATTAGCTGGGTGTGGTGTCGTGTGCCTATAGTTCCAACTACTTGGAAGGCTGAGGCGGAAGGATCAGCTGAGCCCAGCAGGTCAAGGCTGCGGTGGCTGTGAGCGTGCTACTGTCCTCCAGCCTGGGTTATAGAGTGAGACTCCAACTAAAGAAAAAAAATTAGGGGTAGCAGTGCACACCTATACACCTGGAAGGCTCAGGTGGAAAGATTACCTAAGCCCAGCAAGTCAAGGCTACGGTAGCTGTGATTGTGCCACTGTACTCCAGCCTAGGCAACAGAGTGAGACTCTGACTCTAAATAAACAAATAAAAAGTACAAAGTACATGCATACTTTAGAATTTCTTGTATTAAAGATTTTAAAATCTGTGGATGAAGAATATGATGTTACAGTTTGCTAGTATTATGCACACAATTAAGTTATAAATTTTCTTAATTCTTTTATATTTCAGAGAAAGAGTTTTGAAGAAAACTGGGCATAGGCTCAATAAAACCAAACAAAAGAAACAAAAAGCAGACAGTCAGAATAAAGTCAGGAGGAATACTCATTTGAAAGCCTAAATTATCTTACACCAGGAGATCAGGACTCATCTCAGAGTGAAGAGGAAGACTTTGAAAAGACCAGAAGAGAGTCAGAGTGTCCCTTCACTGGGGGTCTACAGAATGAAGTGGGAGATTTTGTGAATGGCTATAAAGAAATAAGATGGAAAGCATAGATTCTGAAGACAGTTTTCCAAATGTTATGTCTATGGTGGAATTGGCAGCACACCTAAGAATGACCTACCTAAGGAAGGAGGTGTCATGTTTCTAAGTTTTTCATCAATGCCAAATGAAAGCTGTCACTTGTCCAACAGTAACTCAAAATCTTTCTTATGTAACAAGTGACGACTGCTCTGGCGTGGAGCTAGGAAATCATGATGGAAACAGGAATGCCATTGCACTGGACATCCAGGACCCACCTGCTGAAGCCCCCTGCTCATTTAAGAAGAGGAGAGAGATGGTAGATAAAAGTCTCTCAAACGTACCAATTCTGTGCCATCAACACAGGTCCAGAATGCCACATCAAGTTTTAAGAGAGGAATAAGAGGCTGGAGGCGGTGGCTCAAGCCTGTCATCCCAGCACTTTGGGAGGCCGAGGCGAGAGGACTACCTGAGCCCAGGGGTTCGAGACCACCCTAGGCAATTTGGCGAGACCTTGTCTCTACAATAAATCAAAAAATTAGCCAGGTATGGTGGTGCTCACCTGTAGTTCCAGCTACTTGGAAGGCTGAGGCGGAAGTATCGCCTGAGCCCAGCAGGTCCAAGCCATGGTGGCTGTGAGTGCCACTGCACTCCAGACTGGGTGACAGAGTGAGATGTCAACTCAAAAAAAAAAAAAAAAAAAAAAAAAGAGCAACAAGTAATATATGCAACTTAAAACAATTCTTGAGCTTTTTTTTAAAAACAATCAATTTATCTGATGAAGAATTACAGCTGAGCTCTGATAGACAGCCCTATTTTGATTACTGGCCTGAGGGACCCATAAGTTTAAATGTGAACAGAGACCAAAGAAAGATAGATCACATAAACTGTCCTGTGCTGACAACAGGGGGCAATTAATTAAATTGATCTCCACCTCTGTGGATGCCTCAGAATCAGGAAGTAGAAACATTGGTAGAGAAACATTGGTAGAGAAGAAGCTACTGATAGAAAATCAAGATTTTTTACCTTTACCTGAAACTATAGATTTATTCTTGGAAACAGAAACAAATATCTTCAGAAGATGCTTACCTTTACTGGATATACCAATGAGTGTCTTAGAACCAATAAAGAATAAGAAAAGGAGACAGAAAAGGATTTTCAGTTTGGCACCAAACTTTAATTTACTGGAACAGAGTCAAATCAGTGCACAAGAAAAAGAGAAACGTGACCTGGTAACAGAAAACCATGGACTAAAAATTATTTGGGGAGAAAAAAACCATAGAATTTCAGAAATAAGAGGAGAATAAGCAAAAACTTAGGACTTTTGATCATCATCCATTGTGGCTTTACCTTGATACTACTGAAGATCTGTCTATAAATATTACTGGACAATTTTATTCTCATCATCTGTCTTTTAGCAGACTAAGGCACTCTACAATTTTTTTAAAAAAGCCTGTTTCCTTCTCTTGTGCTACGTTATATATCTAGCTTTTGGAAGGTATCTTTTACAAAAAAAGAAACTGTTTCTGACTTTCGATCTCAGACAGGAATAGGTGATAAACTAAATGATGTAGGGGTTATTTCTTCAGAAATTTCAAGTTGCCAACCTGACACTTCACACTCTTTGAAGGTCACTTCTGATCTTCACTTTTTAAATGAAAGGGTTGGTGACAAGCTGAAGAGATGGGAAGAGCCAAAGCAGTTACAGTGCTTGCCAGCGAAGGATGGCCAAGAGGTAGCAAGCATTGACTTCAGTTCCCTTGAGCTACTGATATCACAAGAGTTTGCCTTTCAGCTGGTAAAGCTTTTCAGATGTCCAGGAGTTCCAATGGGTACATTGTTTTCATTTGCTAAAAATAAAAGATCCAGTTTAACATGTATACAAGTGATCTGTAGGTATTTTTACCTGGTTCTAATGATTTCACGCAGCTTATTGATCTTCTGATGCTTTTCAGCAGCTGGGACTACAGGCACACGTCACCATACCCCACTAATTTTTAAATTTATTGTAGAGACGAGGTCTCGCCAAGTTGCCCAGGCTGGTCTTGAATGCCTGGACTCAGGCAATCTTCTCTCCTCAGCCTTCCAAAGTGCTGGGGATTATGGGCGTGAACCACTGCACCTGGCTGGACTCTCAATTCAACAGACATTAGGAAAAGTGAAGGATGAGGCAAGAAACTGGCAGCATTAACACATAGCGATGGGCTGCTTTAAAAAAAAATCTTTTGATTGGACGTAGTGTCTCACACCTGTAATCCCGGTACTTTGGGAGGCTGAGGTGAGAGGCTTGCTTGAAGCCAGGAGTTTGAGACCAGGCTAGACAACATAGCAAGACCTTGTCTCGACAATAAAATAAACATAAAAATTAGCTCGACATAGTGGCACACACCTATAGTTCCAGCCACTTGGGAGACTGAGGCAGAAGACTCGCCTGAGCCCGTAAGGTTGAGGCCGTGGTGAACTCTGATGTGTGCCACTGCTCGCCAGCCTGGGTGGCAGAGTGAGACCCTGACTCAAAATAAATAAGCAAATAAAACAAAAATTAAAAATCCTTCCAATTTCTGCCATTCTCTTGTTTGACACATGGCGCTTTACTCTCTCATCCCCAATCATGACTCCCAGATACAAGTAAAGGATAGTCACAAAGATTCGGTGATGAAAAGACATTTGGAATAATTGAGTTTATTATTTTAACGACTGTCTGAGAAGGGTACTGAAAAGATTAGGAGGAGTCTGACTAGTTGATTTTAAAGTTTCCTTCAGGCTCTTAAGATTGTTGCTTTTGGAAATGAAAACTCCACCTGTGAATAAAACAAGCGAAAATAGGAGTTTTTAACTTTCCAAGTAAACTTCTAACAAAATTTCTTCTCAATAAAAAGCATATTTAAATACCAAATATAGCTGGCTGTGGTGGTTCACGCCGATAATCCCAGCACTTTGGGAGGCAGAGGCGAGAGGATTGCCTGAGCCCACCGGTTCAAGACCAGCCTGGGGAACTTGGCAAGACTTCATCTCTACAATAAATCAAAAAATTAGCCGGGCGTAGGGGTGCACATCTGTAGTTTCTGCTACTTGGAAGGCTGAGACGGAAGGACCGCCTGAGCCCAGCAGGTCGAGGCTGCAGTGGCCGGGAGCGTGCCACTGCACTCCAGCCTGAGCGACAGCGTGAGACTCAGACTCAAAAATAAATAAATAAATAAGCAAATAAATAAATAAGAAAGATACTAAATATCTTAAACTGGAAACGGCACGTTTCCCGGTGTTTCCTTGTCTGTAACTCAGTGGCTGATGCTTCCTAGTGCTCTCGCTTGGGAGAGTCAGGAGGCTAACACTCCAGTTTCAGCAGTTCTCCTGTGTCTAACTGTTGTTTTTCTACATCCACCACGGTTCCTGGCACCCTGGTCTTTCGCAAAACTTGTCCCCCTGAGTTTTTCCACTTTGCTCCTAAACTTCTGATGTTCCAGATAAACTTGGCTCCAGCAGCTCAGACCCAAGACTGGCCGAGAACCGGGGTCAAGGAGTTATAATGATCGACCAGCTTTTGAGGCTCTGGAATCATGTTGATCATATTTATACACTTTGTGAAAAATCACATCTTAACTGTTTGCTGCAATTTTTTTTTTTTTTTTTTTTTGAGTTGGAGTCTCAC